TGTGTGTGTGTGTGTGTGTGTGTGTGTGTGTGTGTGTGTGTGTGTGTACAGGCAGAGTCAGCAGGTAGAGAAATATGTGTTTCAGCTGATTGAGGAGCTGAAGAGGAAGATGACGACGACGGAGACCGTTAATCTGGAGGTAACACACACACACACAGACAGATACACACACACACACTACACACACACTACACACACTACACACACACACACACACACACACACACACACACAGAAGAGTATTGAGCTGAAAAACAATCTTAAAATTCTCCATTCAATAATTGTCCTTTCCTTGTCTCCTCTCTCTCCCCTCCTCTCCTTGTCTCCTCTCTTCTCTTTGTCTCCTCTCCTTGTCTCCTCCCTCCTCCCTCCTCAGGGATCCTTCCTGTGTCTCCATCCAGACTCCAAACAGAAGACTCGCTGTCAGTCGTGTCTTCCTTGTCGTTTCTACAACCTGATTGGTCAACTCTGTCATCGCAACACCGAGGCCCTGGTCAAAGGTCAGCCGTCCTTCCTACCACGTCTCCTTCCCTTCCCTTCCTTCTTCCTTGTTCCCTACCTTTCTGTTTTCTTTATTTCAGGTCGATGTACTTCCCTCTTCTGTCTTTGTCCTTCCAGCCACTAAATCGTCTCTGGACGCCCTGAGGAGGAGACTTCACGTCCTCAAATACCAGCCGTCCTCTTCCTCCTGCAGCAGCCAATCAGCTCCTCCTCCTCCTCCTCCTCTTCCTCTCTTCAGAGCCTCCATCCAGCTCTCCATCCCCAACATCGTCCTGAGACCGAGTCTGGACGACGTTCAGGTACTTCTGTTCTCTCCTCTCTGAAGGACAACCGGTCCAGTCTGGTTGATTTAATCACAGTTCTGTTATTCCTTATTAAGAATGGGTCAGAAACATTTAGAGACATTTCAGTTTGATTACATTTTGTTTTGTATTGTTGGTATATTTATCACTTCTTTCATCGTCTTTGAGTTGAACACTTATTCTGTTTTATTAATCTGTCTGTGTGTTTGTGTGTGTGTGTGTGTGTGTGTGTGTGTGTGTGTGTGTGTGCGTGTCTCAGAGTACGGTGAACAGGCTGGTGAGCGGTGTGTTGTCAGTGACTACAGACGTCCCTCTGTGGACGTACTCTCGTCTGCAGTACCGACAGCAGCAGGTAAACAAACATCCGGCTGCTGTTGGAATCAGCTGATACCAGACAGCCAATCACAGGCCGGTGTTCTTCTGTGTGCTAGGCGGAGCAGGTGGCGGTTCGGGATGCGGGAGACGACATCCCGGTGAAGCCGCCGGTGCTGAGGCCTCTGGACAGACAGCTGGCCGAACACAGAGACGTCTCCAAGTCAGTCCAGCTTCAACGTGTCTTAGATGGACAGTAACATCATTCTATCTTCATGAGTTGTTCATTTGCAGAGACGATGCACATTGAACCGTCTACCTTACGTTTACTAATTGGTAAAATGATCTGAACTGCAGAAATCTTCCTTTAACTGACGTGTATGACTTTGAACCAGGAGGCCTCCTCTTGTTCTGAGGAGAGAACGGTGTGTTTCTACTTCATGGAGGTTTATTCTTACGTTTTGGTTCCTAAAACGTCTTATTCAGCTTTCGGTCGTATTTAGCTCCACCCTCTAGTCAGCCTAAAACCAAGATGGTGGCAGCCTAAATTCCAAACTTGAGACTTCAAAACCGTCCACAGACCAACGGGTGACGTCTCTGTGATTACGTCCACTTCTTCTCTACAGTGTGTGGTTCAGACTTCAGGTAGACCTGGTCTACAGGTAAACCTCTGACCTCTCACGTCCCGTCATGTTGTTGTTTGGAGCAGGTTGGTGATCCAGCTCAGCTCCATGGTGTCGTCTCTGAGAGCTCAGGCTGCTGACACTCTGAATGAACTCAGTCACTTCTCTACTCTGTGGAACCAGGTCAGTGTGTGTGTGTGTGTGTGTGTGTGTGTGTGTGTGTGTTGTTGTTGTTGAACTGGACTAACATCCAGGTGACTTTAGGACCCAGAGGAGCAGGTGCAGGCCTTCCTGCAGTCCGACCCCTCGCTGACGGAGTTCGGCTCTCAGATGTCCTTCTACTCTGTGAGTCCACTTCCTGTCTGTCACATCAGCACTTCTGACTCTTCTCTTCGTCGGGTCGCCGGTCGTCGTTAACTACGATACAAAAATACAGAAAGTTACAGAGGCAGAAAGTCTGAATCTCCGAGATTAAAGTCGTAAATCTACGAGAAAAAACCCCTAAATCAGATTTTTCAGATTTCAGATAACAACTTTAATCTCATAATATTTTCTCTATTCAGAAAAAAACCTAAAGATTAAAGACTTGATTATTATCTGAGATTCAAATCACAAATTTATGAAAACAACTATTTTTTTTGTGGAGGAATCGCATGGCTTCACTGTTTAAAGTCGGATCAACGTCATCGCTCCACCGTTGTTTTTTCTGTCCCCGCAGACGCTGGAGGTGCAGATTTCGGAGCTCCCGGAGTTCTTCTCCGTGGGGTCGATCCTCTGCGACACGGACCAGCTGAAGCTGGCGCTCACTCAGGAGTGCCGTCTCTGGAAACGAGCCTTCGGCGCCGCGCTCAACCGCCGCGCGTCCGCCGACATGGCCGACGTCTTCTCCTTCGTGGACGCGCTGACGAAGCGCCTGCAGCGTCCAATCACAGACCTGGAGGACGTGCGGGGAGCCATGGCAGCGCTGAGAGAGGTCAGCCGGCCTCTGATTGGCTGTCAGACGGCACAATATTCATTCATTCATTTTGAAGTGATGGACCGAACCTTTTATCTAAACTTCTCTCCAATGAACTCTTTATTATAATAATCTGTTCTGTCAATCAATCATTCATTTAGTCTTTCTCTCTTCTATTCATCCATTCATTTGGTCCTTAATTCCCTCATTCACTCACTCATTCATTCACTCATTCACTCATTCACTCACTCACTCATTCACTCACTCATTCATTCACTCATTCACTCACTCACTCACTCATTCATTCATTCATTCACTCACTCACTCACTCATTCATTCAATCACTCACTCACTCACTCATTCATTCACTCACTCACTCACTCACTCACTCACTCACTCATTCATTCATTCATTAATGTCAATATTTATTTATTTGTTCCTGTTTTGATTCATTTTTGAATACTTATTATTCATAATCTCTTCATTTATGGTTTTGATAATTAAATAAAAACAGTTTATCTAAATAATAAATTACTTCGACTAACAACAGTACAACTGCTAATACTGCCAGTACTAGTAGTACTACTTCTTACCTTCTCACTCTGATTTATTCATCTCCCCATGAATATTAACTCCTTCACTTCCTGTCTGCTGTTGGAGGTCCGGGAGGCGGAGCTTGGTATCGACGCCGCCATCGGCCCGGTGGAGGAATCCTTCGCTCTGCTCAACAAACACGAGCTGCTCTTCAGAGACGGGAGCGCGGAGCGCGTGGACGGCCTGACGTACGCCTGGACCAACCTCGGCGCCCTGGTGAGACCTTCGCCCACGTCGTCCAATCACAGCGCAGATCCAAAATATCAGTGAAATTATTATCATAGACAAACATATAATCAACGTTATTAAATTCATTGACTCATTTTTTTGTTTCTTTTTTTCTGTTCTGTCACTCAATTATTCATTTAGTCTTTCTCTTTTTTTATTCATCCTTTCATTTGGTCCTTAATTCATTCATTCATTTATCCATTTATTCATTTATGTATTCATTCATTTGAATACTTGATTGTGTCCAGGCTTTGTTCTCTTTGTTGCCGTTTGTAAAACAAATTTAATTAACATATTGAGCTTGTTTTGTCTTTCCTCGTTCAGAAAATACTCTGTGATTTTAAATGATTTTAAATGTTTTGAACTGTTTTTGTGTTTTTCCCTCAGGAACACTAGCGACCCCTTTTTGTGGATCCAACTAAAGTGCGTTGTGTTTTTTCAGGTGGTGCAGAACCAGAACACCCTGGTGAGGATCCAGCCCAGCATGAAGGCGGACCTGCTGTCTGCGGTGCAGAGCTTCCAGATCCACGTCCAGAGCTTCTGCTCCGAGTACAACCACAGGTACACGTCTAGGTGGAGCGACGTCTAGGTGGAGCGACGTCTAGGTGGAGCGACGTCTAGGTGGAGCGACGTCTAGGTGGAGCGACGTCTACGTGGAGCGTGACGAAGTAGCAAACAAATCACTGCTGTGTTTTCCTGCAGGGGTCCGGGGACGGAGGGCGTCGCTCCGGCTGAAGCCAGCGAGCGGCTGCAGAGTTTTCAGGCCGAGTTTGATCAGCTGTGGAGGAAATACACCACGTACTCTGGAGGAGAGGAGCTCTTTGGACTGACCGTCAACGGTACTGCTGCCCGACGGACTGGCTGCCTCCCTATCACTCTCCTGCTCTTCCTCCCTGATCCTTCCCTCTCTTCCCCTGCAGAGTATCCGGAGCTGCAGAGGATCAGGAGGGAGCTCTCTCTGATGTCCAAACTCTACGCTCTGTACAACTCCGTCATCGACAGCATCGCCGGCTACTACGACGTCCTGTGGGCCGACCTCGACGTCCAGAGGATCAACGCCGAGCTGCAGGACTTCCAGAACAGGTGCAGCAGATTTTAGATTGAAAGTTACGTGAAGACCCAAATAGTCTGTAGGTGAGCTTTCCGATCACCGCTTGCAGCACTTATTGATCCATTACTATAAGGAACTTCCTTTGTGTAGATTCTGTGGACTAAAGTGGTAGTGTCTCTGAGCTCCAGAGTCTCTTTAGAAAACCTTTCACTTTACTGCAGCAGGGTCTGACAGTCTTCCCCTCTCAGTCTTGGTTCTGGTTTTCCCGTGCCTCCCTTCCCTCCAGCAGGTCCAGCAATACGTCCTGGGTCTCCAGCAGAGAGGAGAAGCTCTGCTCCTGGAGGAGGAGGAGGAGGAGGAGGAGGAGGAGGAGGAGGAGGAGGAAACACTGCTGCTGCTGAGAGCTGAGCTCTCCTCCTCCCTCCGGAGCTCCGGATCTCACGGTGGACCGGTCTATAAGAATATAAGAATGACTCTATAGAAATAGACCATCTTCTCTCTGATGGTCTCTGTTACTGATGGAGGTCTGATAGAGGATCAGGTCTACACTGAGACTGGTTCATATAGAGGATCAGGTCTACACTGAGACTGGTTCATATAGAGGATCAGGACTACACTGAGACT